TATATATATATTATATAACTATATTATATATAAATATATATATATATATATATATATTATATATATATATATATATTATATATATATATTATATATATATATATATATATATATTTGTTTGGCAGTTAGGGTAAGATATAAACAGCTATTGGAGGATAGATGGGCAAATGAGAGCATAGGCAATGGGGTCGAAGAGGTATGGGGTAGGATTAAAAATGTAGTGTTAGAGTGTTCAGCAGAAGTTTGTGGTACAGGAAGTGGGTGCAGGAGGGAAGAGGACCCGATTGGTGGAATGATGATGTAAAGAGAGTTGTAAGGGAGAAAAAGTTAGCATATGAGAAGTTTTTTACAAAGTAGAAGTGATGCAAGGAGGGAAGAGTATATGGAGAAAAGAGAGAGGTTAAAAAAGTGGTGAAGCAATTTTAAAAGAGAGCAATGAGAGAGTGGGTGAGATGTTATCAACAAATTTTGTTGAAAATAAGAAAAAGTTTTGGATTTGAGATTAACAAGTTAAGAAAGCCTAGAGAACAAATGGATTTGTCAGTTAAAATAGGAGAGGAGAGTTATTAAATGGAGAGTTAGAGGTATTGGAGAAGATGGAGGGAATATTTTGAAGAATTGTTAAATGTTGATGAAGATAGGGAAGCTGTGATTTCGTGTATAGGGCAAGGAGGAATAACATCTTGTAGGAGTGAGGAAGAGCCAGTTGTGAGTGTGGGGGAAGTTCGTGAGGCAGTAGGCAAAATGAAAGGGGGTAAGGCAGCCGGGATTGATGGGATAAAGATAGAAATGTTAAAAGCAGGTGGGGATATAGTTTTTGGAGTGGTTGGTGCAATTATTTAATAAATGTATGGAAGAGGGTAAGGTACCTAGGGATTGGCAGAGAGCATGCATAGTTCCTTTGTATAAAGGCAAAGGGGATAAAAGAGAGTGCAAAATTATAGGGGGATAAGTCTGTTGAGTGTACCTGGTAAAGTGTATGGTAGAGTTATAATTGAAAGAATTAAGAGTAAGACGGAGAATAGGATAGCAGATGAACAAGGAGGCTTTAGGAAAGGTAGGGGGTGTGTGGACCAGGTGTTTACAGTGAAACATATAAGTGAACAGTATTTAGATAAGGCTAAAGAGGTCTTTGTGGCATTTATGGATTTGGAAAAGGCGTATGACAGGGTGGATAGGGGGGCAATGTGGCAGATGTTGCAAGTGTATGGTGTAGGAGGTAGGTTACTGAAAGCAGTGAAGAGTTTTTACGAGGATAGTGAGGCTCAAGTTAGAGTATGTAGGAAAGAGGGAAATTTTTTCCCAGTAAAAGTAGGCCTTAGACAAGGATGTGTGATGTCACCGTGGTTGTTTAATATATTTATAGAAGGGGTTGTAAGAGAAGTAAATGCGAGGGTCTTGGCAAGAGGCGTGGAGTTAAAAGATAAAGAATCACACACAAAGTGGGAGTTGTCACAGCTGCTCTTTGCTGATGACACTGTGCTCTTGGAGATTCTGAAGAGAAGTTGCAGAGATTGGTGGATGAATTTGGTAGGGTGTGCAAAAGAAGAAAATTAAAGGTGAATACAGGAAAGAGTAAGGTTATTGAGGATAACAAAAAGATTAGGTGATGAAAGATTGAATATCAGATTGGAGGGAGAGAGTATGGAGGAGGTGAACGTATTCAGATATTTGGGAGTGGACGTGTCAGCGGATGGGTCTATGAAAGATTGAGGTGAATCATAGAATTGATGAGGGAAAAAGAGTGAGTGGTGCACTTAGGTCTGTGGAGACAAAGAACTTTGTCCTTGGAGGCAAAGAGGGGAATGTATGAGAGTATAGTTTTACCAACGTTCTTATGGGTGTGAAGCATGGTGATGAATGTTGCAGCGAGGAGAAGGCTGGAGGCAGTGGAGATGTCATGTCTGAGGGCAATGTGTGGTGTGAATATAATGCAGAGAATTCGTAGTTTGGAAGTTAGGAGGAGGTGCGGGATTACCAAAACTGTTGTCCAGAGGGCTGAGGAAGGGTTGTTGAGGTGGTTCGGACATGTAGAGAGAATGGAGCGAAACAGAATGACTTCAAGAGTGTATCAGTCTGTAGTGGAAGGAAGGCGGGGTAGGGGTCGGCCTAGGAAAGGTTGGAGGGAGGGGGTAAAGGAGGTTTTTGTTGCGAGGGGCTTGGACTTCCAGGAGGCATGCATGAGCGTGTTTGATAGGAGTGAATGGAGACAAATGGTTTTTAATACTTGACGTGCTGTTGGAGTGTGAGCAAAGTAACATTTATGAAGGGATTCAGGGAAACCGGCAGGCCGGACTTGAGTCCTGGAGATGGGAAGTACAGTGCCTGCACTCTGAAGGAGGGGTGTTAAGCACCCTTCTGGCAAGACAGTGATGGAGTGAATGATGGTGAAAGTTTTTTTTTTCGGGCCACCCTGCCTTGGTGGGAATCGGCCAGTGTGATAATAAAAAAATATATATATATATATATATATATATATATATATATATATATATATATATATATATATATATATATATATATATATATATATATATATATATATATATGAAGTAAGATTACATAAATAGGTGATATCAGAATATGAAAAACAACCACTGTGAAAGAATAGTGAATTTCACTATCCTTTCACAGTGGTTGTTTTGTATGTATATATATATATATATTATATATATATATAATATATATATATATATATATATATATATATATATTTTAATATATATTATTCAAACGAGTTTTTCAAAAATATATTCATGAAGAAAGAAGATCGTAAATTTGAAAGAGAAGAAAACAGGCGGACACGCTAATAATGGAGGGGTAATGTAGTGCTAACAGCTGGCATTGCTCACCCTGAAGCTGTAAATATTCTCACTGCGAAACCTGATAAAATGTTGCTTATACACTACAACTACGTTTTTCCCGGGAACAAATTACATATTTTGAGTTCTATTCAGAGTCCAAAACACTGTGATATTCACACATTGAACTCTGTGTCTCTCTCTCTCTCTCTCTCTCTCTCTCTCTCTCTCTCTCTCTCTCTCTCTCTTGATGCGTAGTTGAACGGACGTCACCCATCACAGTCTGGAAAAAAACAGATATCTCTACGTGTTTACAGTCAGGTGATACATGTTAGTGGTGACTCTAAATACGGAAGGTGAAAATTAGTATAAGAAAATTATTGGAGAAAAAAAAAATATGTATATTAAGAAATAATAGTGAAAATGCATGAGCAGAGTAACCCCTTGTTTACAGTATGTTAGAGAACACTAAATATAAACCTGCCTGTGTTGTGCCTCGACACGAACATTATATATCTAATGGATGAGATATTGAATAATTTGGATATTTATTTTATTAATGACATTAGCAAATTAAAGGGTAAAAATATTAAATCTTCTTATGATACACTAACTCTGAAAGTTTAAAGCCGATCAGAAAATGCATTCTCCAGTTATCCAGTGATTCCGAAATTTCATTAACTGTGTATATATTGTCAAATTTAATCCTACTAACTTTAAACTTACGGAGTGTCATCCATTTAATGAAATGAATCAGCGAAGCATCCTGCAGGTAGTGTTGATGGTTTGAATCCAATCAGTTTAGGCATTCTTTATTTATCGAACAGAAATCAATTTCGCTGTTTATTTAGCAGACATTGCAACTTGTGCGTACTAATAACAACGTAAAACATGCGTTCCAGAAAACACATCAGCACTACAAGTTTGAAATCGATTAAACGTTGCATTCTCCAGGTATCGCATGGATTCCAACGATTCCAAGTTATTTTTTCAACTAATTTAGTACACTGACAAAATTCCCCACACACCAACCAAACTTGATGGATACTATCCAGTCTGAACAATGACTCAGCATAACATACCGGAGCTGCTGGGAAGCGGTCACCTCAGACATATTAAACGTGATTGAACGAGAGAGAAAATTTTTTTTATTTTGCACATAATATTGGTAAATGTGTAACTACATATTCGAATTTCACGCTCCAAGGTCCTCAAATTAGGAAAACACCTGCGAGGAACGTTTGATGCTTTGCCACTGAGGGTTTTGGAGGTTATGGAAGCCCTTCCATGGGAAAGGTTACTACAACCTTGGTCATGGGACGCCTGCACATGACATTTGTTGCAAGAATCTTTTTGCTCTCTTGGACGTACATCAGCTCCGAGAATTTGAAATCGATTGGACAAGGTCTCGTCTTACGAGTGAAATGAAAGCGAAAATTTGGTACAAGGGAAAAAAAATCAGCCGACCACTTAAGAAAAAAAATAAAAAAGAAAAAAGAAAAAGAAGAAAATAGAAATAGTAAAACAAATATAAAGAAATTAGAAGCAAAAAGTATCAAAAAGGAAAAAAAAAAAGAAAAAACAGAAAGAGAATAATTAGCGACAACAACATTTCCCCATTTGTATTCCAAGGTTTTTAACCTTTAAAAAAAAAATTTGATAACCCAATATTGCACGTGCAACCTCACTCGTACCTCATTAAACATTAAACGCCGCCTGGAAATATTAAATACCGTGTGAATACAAGTATTTTCTTGTGAATATCTTATTGTATTTAAGCATTTATGAATCCCTGATATAGTATCCATTATCAATAATGACGAAAACAGTTTAAAAACCGACAAGTTGAAGAACGAGACACTTGTGCAATATCGACTCCAGGATGAGGGACTGAGTACCTCAAACTCTCTCCTTATATTCCACTGTCATTCTGTGTTGGACTGAAGAAGACACTGGCTGGCGAAGCGCGTCCACAATGAAGATTCCCAATTGTTTCACACATTATCAGTAGTGTTGATGAAGAGGTATGATATGATAATGTATTAACCTAGCAGTAGAGAGAGAGAGAGAGAGAGAGAGAGAGAGAGAGAGAGAGAGAGAGAGAGAGAGAGAGAGAGAGAGACAGACAGACAGACAGGCAGACAGACAGACAGACAGAGAGACAGAGAGACAGACAGACAAAGTGGAGCAAGCAATTACAGGTCATATTTACTGAGAAAATACAGATGATGATGATGGTCTCGAGACAGTCCGAAGTTGCTACTGGAATAAGCGTGAAGGAAATGGTCTGAAGATGAGGCTGTGAAGGACGTGGTGTGAAGATGCTGGTGTGAAGGACGTGGTGTGAAGATGCTGGTGTGAAGGACGTGGTGTGAAGATGCTGGTGTGAAGGACGTGGTGTGAAGATGCTGGTGTGAAGGACGTGGTGCGAAGATGCTTGTGTGAAGGACGTGGTGTGAAGATGCTTGTGTGAAGGACGTGGTGTGAAGATGCTGGTGTGAAGGACGTGGTGTGAAGATGCTTGTGTGAAGGACGTGGTGTGAAGATGCTTGTGTGAAGGACGTGGTGTGAAGATGCTTGTGTGAAGGACGTGGTGTGAAGATGCTGGTGTGAAGGACGTGGTGCGAAGATGCTTGTGTGAAGGACGTGGTGTGAAGATGCTTGTGTGAAGGACGTGGTGTGAAGATGCTTGTGTGAAGGACGTGGTGTGAAGATGCTGGTGTGAAGGACGTGGTGTGAAGATGCTTGTGTGAAGGACGTGGTGTGAAGATGCTTGTGTGAAGGACGTGGTGTGAAGATGCTGGTGTGAAGGACGTGGTGTGAAGATGCTGGTGTGAAGGACGTGGTGTGAAGATGCTGGTGTGAAGGACGTGGTGTGAAGATGCTGGTGTGAAGGACGTGGTGTGAAGATGCTGGTGTGAAGGACGTGGTGTGAAGATGCTGGTGTGAAGGACGTGGTGTGAAGATGCTGGTGTGAAGGACGTGGTGTGAAGATGCTTGTGTGAAGGACGTGGTGTGAAGATGCTTGTGTGAAGGACGTGGTGTGAAGATGCTTGTGTGAAGGACGTGGTGTGAAGATGCTTGTGTGAAGGACGTGGTGTGAAGATGCTTGTGTGAAGGACGTGGTGTGAAGATGCTGGTGTGAAGGACGTGGTGTGAAGATGCTGGTGTGAAGGACGTGGTGTGAAGATGCTGGTGTGAAGGACGTGGTGTGAAGATGCTGGTGTGAAGGACGTGGTGTGATGATGCCAATGTGAAGGAAATGGTCTGATGATGCTGGTGTGAAGGAACTAGTGTGAAAGAACTATCGTGAAGGAATTAGTGTGAAGGAACTGATATACAGTAATAGGTGTGTAAGAACACACAAATTATCTTAATTCTTCTTTTAAAGAAGTTTGAAGCAGTGGTGTTAAGGTGAACAGAAGATACTCGGCACGCAGCCACGAGTTTCACTCCCATGAAGTGAAGTGTGACTCTGTAATGACTAGTAAAACTGTGTAGTAAACTTTGCCCACGCAACACAGTGCTTGCTGCGACAACACCGGCTGCAAAACACAGAAATGATGAGACACACGTTAGTTCCCATCTTGGGTGAGATGAGACACACGCTGGTTCTCACTTTGGGTAAGATGGGACACACGCTGGTTTTCACCTTGGGTATGATGAGGCACAAGCTAGTTCTCACTTTGGGTATGATGAGACACAGGTTGGCTGTCATCTTGGCTATGCCCTATTCTCGTGAATGGCCTAACGCATCCGTCGGTGCTACCCAGCTCCGATTTCTGTGCGAGGTAGATTGTCTAGGGCGACTCATCTCGTACCTTGTCCCTTGCCTTGGTGGATATATTGGCTCTGCATTGGCTTTCCTAGGTGGACGCAAAAGACTCAACAACAGACAGATATCGGCTGTCTTACTGTTATGTGCAAGTTAAACATTTCTTGATTTTTCTTAAATGTTTTAGCCTCTCGGAGATTCACAAGATATTTATTATACCCCAAGACTGGCAGCCGTTAGCATACTGACACTGGCTGTACCCCCGAATTTAAGAGACAGAGACAAAGTGAGAGAGAAAGAGAGAGAAAAAAAAAAGAGGAAGAGAAAGAGAGAGTGAGAATGAAAAAAGCGAGAGATAGCAATCATATTTTGCGGGGAAGCCAGAAAAAAAAGAGAAACATCACAGGCAGCGAGATTGGGTGAAGCTATACAAAATATTTACAATATTGATTCTATCTTATATTCATTTATTTATTTCGCAAATTCGCGAACTTTACGCAGCAGAGACGAGTATCGCCCCCTAGCGTAAAAAAAAAAAAGTATGGCCTGCACTACGTTATTTCAAAGGGAACGGGGGGCGGGGGGCAACGAACCCTTTGCATTTTGAAGGGATTACAAAAAGATATCTGGAATATAAACATATGTAATCTTCTGGACGAGAATAAATCAGAATAATAGCAACAAGAATTTGTTAACCAATTTCACAGAATGAGGACATAACACATTGGGTGGAAATAGGTTTTACCGAGTCTGCGATTCTCTCTGTGCAGAGCTTTATAAGTTTATGACCTCGTGACCTGGTAAAGCTCTACACAGAGCGAGACTGTGTCCCAGTGAAAGTTTCCTTTGTCACTTGTGTCACTGTCGTCGTTCTTGTCGGCAAATCCGCAGTTTCACCAATTTCGTGGAAATTCGATGAAATGGAGGAAAAAAATGGATAGTGAAGGAGGAAACTGGCATATAACACGCACACAGTAGTAGACAAGATGAAAGCAATGACTTTCACTGGATGATGATGATGATGATGATGATATCATCATCATCATCATCATCATCATGAGCCACAGCAAACATCTCTATTTTTCCCTCTCAAGATCAAACCAGCATCACAATGACGATAAAAAAAAAAAAGCAAGACCGACGTAAGGATAAAACAGCTTTTGTTTGCCAGACCGTTTTGGGAACCGATGTAGCAAACAATAGCTGTCTCCATCCAATTTCTCCTTATTATACGTGAAAAATATGCGATTCGAACGATGTGATCTCTCACAAACACCCCGATGGCAGACGTGTTCCTTTTTAATTTGGCTAGTTGTATTTAAACACAAATATGTATATATATTATATATATATATATATATATATATATATATATATATATATATATATATATATATATATATATCGTGCCGAATATGTAAAACTGGTCAATTAGCAAAAACTCATTTAAAATTAAGTCCTTTCTGAAATTTTCTTTTATACGTTTAAAGATATATTTTTTTCATTAATGTTAATGTAAAAATTTTTAATTTTGCACCAAAAGAATCTTAGAAAACTTACCTAACCTTATTATAACAAGAGCAATTTATTTTAGCCTAACCCAACTAAATATGTTTTAAATACGTTTACTAAACAAACACAATCAAATATATTTTTTTCGTTAGGATCAGAATGATTTTGGCGAAATTATTGCATACACAAATTTTCACTTGTCCTATATGGCAAGATGAGCGTTGCTATTTAAGCCAAGATCGCAAGTTCTGCCTATTCGGCACGACATATATATATATATATATATTATATATATATATATATATAATTATATATATATATATATATATAATCATACTTCAACCAAACCTAACCTAAACTACCGTAACCTAACTTAAAATAAAAATAAAAAATTCTGTAAAGGGAGAAAGTTCAGAAACTGACACTGGAAAACTCATAAGATAAGGAAACGTGTAAAATAGCTGGTTGTTTGATGCTGGCGTCTGGTATTTACCGTAAGAGAAGGTTCAACAGGTACTCCATCATCACCTGATATAATAGTAATATAACATTATCAACCACTTATAAAACCTCTTTAAATTTACTCATAATTACATGCTATAACCTTATATCTCCTGTCCATTCCAAACTCGATTAGCGTCATATAGGTGTTGCCAGAGCTCCATAAACAGATACTGCGCCAGGATCCACTTTGCAGCATAATTAATGAACGTGGCTATAACGCCATGAAATATGTAACAGCAGGGGCTTATGTAAATAGGAATTTTTTTAACGTAAGCGTCCCGGGTCGGTATATTTGTGGGCACCCCATAAATCGAGGCGTTCGTAAAAATTCATGGCTTGCATGTAGCTTCGATGGTAGCAGAGGTTATTGAAGGAGCGACGTGAATTTCCCTTGCTGTGTGAGGATGAAAGAGGGACACCATCCGCCTCGCTCTGAAGCTGTGGTAAATACCTCTCAAGTTTCCGCTGAGTAAGAATCAAAATCAAAGAGTAAGAATCAAGGTCAGGGAGCAGGAATCAAAGTCAGAAAGCGCCCTGAACGAAACAGTCTGTTATTCGAACCGTGACTTACATTCACAATACTACTGTGTTGCTATTGAACTACCGGGTGACGGGAGGTAATCAGGTTTGATGCCTGCAAGAGGACGATAGCTCCAAATTCCTTGGCTCAAGAGCCCTTCATCGTCATGAAAGCACCCCTCTTGATAGGTCATTCATTGGTTTCCTTGGTGGTTCATGGTGTCATGACTTTGACATGGATTAGACACTTCCAAGACTTCTCAAACTGTGACTTCCCAACCTGTGACTTCCCAACCTGTAACTTCCCAACCAGTGACTTTACAATCTGTGACTTCACAATATGTGAATTCCCAACCTGTAATTTCAGAACAGGTGACTTCACAATCTATGACTTCACAGCCTTTGACTTCACAATCTATGACATCCTAACCTGTGCCTTCCCAACCGGAGCCTTGACAATTCAGCTGCACATCGAAACATTGCTACAAAATAAGAAATGGAAACCAGACGACATTCCTGTCAGTCCTGAACTTTAGCTACACCTCTGTGGGCGTGTGACTTACCTCAGGAACTGTCTTCAGGCTGGAAAAATATTCAGGCTTCAAGGAGGCACAAGTTTGTGAAGGAAAGACGGAAACGCTGCACTAAAAGATGTCTGATTTTTAATTAACAAGTTTCGATATGACTGTCTCGATGACTCCCTCTCAATACATCTTGTAAACTAAAAAATTACAATTCAACTGAAAGTAGAGTTATTTTTTTTCTTTCATGTGTTTCTTCTTAACAGTTGCAAAATAGATCGTAGTCTTTATACGTGCATGAAAACTAACCAAAATTTATAACGGAATCTGAGTTGTGTTTTCGTGAGTCCTGGACCGAATTGTTCCAGCCACTGTATTGGCTGGTTATTTAATGGGGCTTAACGTCCAATGACCACATGAGGGTCATTAAGGCTGCATGTCACATGTTCACCACTAGCCAGGTATACTTAAATGCCTAGAACAGTGATTGAAATTAAGTCTGTGTATATATACACAGAGAGACATACACTTCATGCTGTATTTATCCTGTGGTGTCCACTGTATTTGGATTTTAATTCTTAATTATATGTATATATATATATATATATATATATATATATATATATATATATATATATATATATATATATATATATATATATATAGTTAGTAGGTTGGTAGACAGCAACCCACCCAGGGAGGTACTACCGTCCTGCCAAGTGAGTGTAAAACGAAAGCCTGTAATTGTTTTACATGATGGTAGGATTGCTGGTGTCTTTTGTCTGTCTCATAAATATGCAAGATTACAGGTACGTCTTGCTACTACTTACACTTAGGTCACACTACACATACATGTACATGTTTATTTATACACACTCATCTGTGTTTTCTTTGATTTTATTCTTAATAGTTCTTGGTCTTATTACTTTTCCTTTTATATCCATGGGGAAGTGGAATAAGAATCTTTCCTCCGTAAGCCATGCGTGTTGTAAAAGTCAATTAAAATGCCGGGAACAATGGGCTAGTAAACCCTTTTCCTGTAATAATTACTAAAAAGAATAAGAAGAAAATTGTCAAAGTGGGAAGTCTGAATGTGCGTGGATGTTGTGCAAATGATAAGAACGAGGTGATTGTGGATGTTATGAATGAGAAGAAGCTGGATGTCCTGGCTCTAAGTGAAACAAAGCTGAAGGGGGTGGGAGAGTTTCAGTGGAGAGGAATAAATAGGATTAGGTCAGGGGTTTCAAATAGAGTTAGAGCTAAAGAAGGAGTAGCAATAATGTTGAAGGATAAGTTATGGCAGGAAAAGAGGGACCACAAATGTATTAATTCAAGGATTATGTGGAGTAAAATAAAGGTTGGATGTGAAAAGCGAGTTATAGTAAGCGTATATGCACCTGGAGAAGAGAGAAGTGTAGAGGAGAGAGATTTTGGGAAATGTTGAATGAATGTGTGGGGAGTTTTGAACCAAGTGTGAGAGTAATGGTGGTTGGGGATTTCAATGCTAAAGTGGGCAAAAATGTTATGGAGTAGTAGGTAAATTTGGGGTGCCAGGGGTAAATGTAAATGGGGAGCCTTTAATTGAGCTATGTGTAGAAAGAGGTTTGGTAATAAGTAATACATATTTTATGAAAAAGAGGATAAATAAATATACAAGGTATGATATAGCACGTAATGAAAGTAGTTTGCTAGATTATGTATTGGTGGATAAAAGGTTGATGGGTAGGCTCCAGGATGTACACGTTTATAGAGGGGCAACTGATATATCGGAGCATTATTTAGTTGTAGTTACAGCTAGAGTAAGAGGTAGATTGGAAAAGAGGAAAATAGCAACAACAAGCAAGAGGGAAGTGAAAGTGTATAAACTGAGGGAGGCAAAATCGCTTA